ATACCTAGCGCCTGATACTGAAGGCTGAAAACTTAGAATTTCCTGGAACTGTGTTTTATAAAATAAAGATCTATAATTAGCAATGTTTTACAAGGTTCCTTGGAATTGAATTTCAACAAAGGGAGATTGGGAGACAGAAGAGTAGAAGGAATACAGTCAGTCCTATTGACTGGTTATATGTCCTGCTCTCAACTATAGATGGCCTTTTTTACATGAACTTACTTAGTGTTTACTTTATAAAAGAAAAAAAAAACTAAATGTTAAAAACTGTATTCATGATTCTTTACTTATAACTCTTATTTTACCTGAAAGACTAAACAAAGAAATGAAGGAATATAAAATATGGAATGTTACTTCAGTTTCACTAAAATCTGATGAATAGAGCCACATGTTTTAATAACATAGTGGGTTTTATTTACCTAAATTTCTAGAATTATTAGATATACTCTTGGACCTCACCTTACATAATACCAACATTTTTCACCTTGAAAATGTTAACTTAAAATGTTAAGATAAGAAATATTAACCATACTTCATTCAATTTTCCATATATTTCCAGAGCAAGGAAAAAGAAAGGCATATTGAACTGTTCATTGTTGCCGATGATAACATGGTAAGTTTTCACTTAAACATTTGCTCTCTATTGTAGTTGTGATTTTTTAGCAAAGAGAAAGTAGTATTTTCATCAACATTTCATTCCAGGTTCCAAGTTCTGTTTTTAGCTTCTCCGGACATACGTAAGAGACAATAAGGTCCTTTGGGTATACAGCAGACCAAGTCAAAATAGAACCCTCCCTCTCCATTATGAACATATGGAAATGATGAACAACTTACAAAAAATTGAAAATATGTTCACAATCTATATGTGGGTTTGTGCTCAATCGCTCAGTCATGTTTGACTCTTTGCCACCCCATGGACTGTAGCCCGCCAGGCTCCTCTGTCTTTCCCAGGCAAGAATGTTGGAATGTGCTGCCATTTCCTTCTCCAGGGGATCTTCTTGACCCAGAATTGAAGCTGTGTCTCCTGCATTACTGGCAGTCTCCTGCATCACAAGCAGATTCTTTACTGCTAAGCCACCAGGGAAGCCCAAGTGGAGAGAAGTGGGATGGACCACAATTACTTGCCCTTCTCCATCATATCTCTGGCTCCAGGATGATCCTTGATTATATGCTCCTGAGTCTGTGCCCACCATGGATACAGGAGGGCTGAGAAAGTTGTTTTTTGCAATATACTGGTTGATACAGCTTTAATAAATTTTGCTAAAAATATGGACTCTAAAGCAGCAGTCCCCAACCCATTTTGGCACCAAGAATTGATATCTTGGAAGACAATTTTTCCATGGACCAGGAAGTGGGGAGATGGTTTCAGGATGATTCAAGTGCATTACACTTATTGGGCACTTTATTTCTATTATTATTACTTCAGCTCCACCTCAGATCATCAGGCATTTGATCTCAGAGATTGGGGACCCCTGCTTTAAAGAACAGTTATCAGTTGACTTAATAAATTAGTATAATGCTATATAATGTAATGTGAAGAGGGAACAGAGTTATAAAGAAACACCTTAAAATAGTGCCAAGTTAAAACTGCCTTTAGAAACTGCTGTATCTGGTTATTTTATATTAAAAGTGTATTTCTGCATAAGTTGTATAGATTTTTCAGCTCACTGGAAGGAAAGCCAATGAATTTTTTTTAATATATCATAATGGGAATAATTTTGTTGAAATTGCATTCAGTTTCTATGATCAATGAATGTTAATTGAATGTCTATTTTTCCAGTATCGCAGGAATAGTCAACCTCACAGTAGACTGAGGAACCGAGTTTGGGGAATGGTCAATTTTGTTAACATGGTAAGATTTGACACAGTTTGAATCAAGCCAAAAACACAAATGAAAGAAACTTTTAGGCTAGATCTCTGCTGGATTTTTCTAGTAATCCTGATTCTGAGACAGCCCAAAATATAATTCACCAAGGCAGCTAATTAACAAAATTCCGTTGGAAAAAAAAATCAAAGCAACAAATGAATCACAACTGTAAGTTTTAAGTTTTCTAAGTAAATGATATTTAATATTTAGATAAGTTTCAAGCATTCATTACTAAGCACAAAATTTACAAGGCAGTGTACAAAGACTTGACTACCCACCATGAATAATCAAATCCATTCTTTGAAATTACTGTTCCATGACCTTGCATTGTATAGCAAAAAGGCTTTCAAATGCTAATTTATAGTCCATCTTCAAACAGAGAGATCAGGGGAAACATTTCTATGAAAAGCGGCAAATGATTACTTTGTCTAACTTAGAATGAACTAGAACCCTTTTAAATAAATAATACTGTGAATTTTACACATCTTTTAAAAAGTGACTCCTTCTGAGTTAGCCAGCTCCTTTACTAGGATAAAAAGGGCCCCCCAAAAAGACACTGTAGAAATCACCCCTTTAGGTCAGTGATTTTTTTCATTCGCCAGCTGATCTGTTTCTAGTTTTTCACTAGAATGTTTGGGGACCTGAACCAGCCCTGACTGTGTACTGAATTCCTGGGCTAAGTGAGGCCATCAGCTTTGCTCTGCAGATAGGGAAAGTCATGAGCTGACCTCTGTTCAAATTCTACTGGGCCTAGGGCTGTTGAACGGGCTATGAAGATTCCATGGTAAGAGTCCCTGGTCAGACAGACTGAAGTCTATATTCAGCAATGAGCAGGGCTGCAAATCAGATTCTCTGCTTGGGCACAGCAGGAGAAGCAGCTCTGAAACTGATAAAGCTCTGTTGGCTGTCTTAAGTCAAGTTGACCCCCTTTCCTAGCTGAACAGGATCACTGACTTTGCTTGAAGACTCTCAGCTCTGTCTGCCCATCTCTTAGGCTGAGCACTGCTGGGATGCCCATCTTTTAGGGGTTTTCACCAGTCCAGAAGTGGCTTTGCTCTGGGGGAATCTCAAGGGCTGCTTCTCCTGTTTCTTGCAATTATCTTTATTACTCCCCTAACATGGATCCAAATATAACACAGATCTATCTTTCTCCTTGAGTTCCCATCCCCAAACTGTTGCACATTGCTGAATTTGTACTAAATATTTTCAGTTCAGTTCAGTGATATTTTCTCATTAGAAAAGAATATATCCAGAGAATGGCAAATAGCATTTCCATTTGCACTTGATTACGATTTTATGAACCTGAAGTCCACCCAAGAAGGTAGAGAGTCCAAAGAACCCAGGTTAAGAAAAAATCTCACGGGACCTAACTCATCAAGAAAGACAAAGGAATGGACATCTAGTTAGGTTTGAGATCATGGTTTAGCTAAAGATCTAACTTTATAAGAGTTTATGAAAACCATAGTTCTTCATGGTTATGAAATGACCATGAGTCATGATTATTGTGTCGGCACATGAAATTCTATATAGTCATATTATGCAGGTTAAGAAAAGTGAAAAATTAGTACACGATTATTTTTATAGCCATGATGTGAATATTAAGCTTCTTAATAATCAGTTACACCTTCTATGGATATTATCAAGTTGACCTCTCTATTTCTGTTCTTAACTCAGTGTTTATAGTTATCATCGACTCCTCCTTTCAACTGACTTGTACTGGCTATTTTGAGATATAAAATTGATTTAACACATAGTCCTTTGTCTCAAAATCTTCATAATATTTGCTTAAATTCTTTTTGTCCTGGCATCAAAGTATCTATCAACTTTGTGTTTACAAAAGCAGATGGGAATAAGGGTGAGAAGGCTTGAGCTACAACTATTTCCATCTGCTTTGAGGCGTTAAGCAATTCCCAATAAGTTTTCTTACACAACAAAGTAATTCCAAAAATCAAACACAGAGCACAAACATGAGAGCTAGGTTATTGTTTGTTGTTTTTTTAATTTCTACAACTTTTTATTCGTGAAAAATTTTAAGCATACACAAAGTAAGCAGAACAGTATAATGAACCTCTATGTATTCATCATCCAATTTCAATGATTACCATCATTCTACCCTTTATCAATATCACTAACCAATGCCCACCACTTGCATTGTTATTATTGTATTTTTACAAGTTTCAGGAGGTTAATTCAATACTTCGAAATATGCAAGTGTGCATTCTTCTTCTTTTTATTATTTTACAGGTTTGAGAGTGGTAAGTTCAATAGTTTGAAATGCACAAGTCTTAGCTATAAAAATTTGAATAATGAACCCACCTATGTGAGCCACACGCCTATGACCATAATAGAATCCATTTCCCACAAAATTCCTTTATCCGGAGTAACCTGCTGGCTCTCCACACTACTTTTCTGAAAAATTTCACTGTAGATTAGTTCTAGTCTAAGAGCTTCATGCAAATGGAATTATCCCGTGGGTCTTGTCTGTGTCTGACTTCCCTTGCTTAGCACAATGCCTGAGATGCATTCATGTAGCTGTGTGTGTATTGGTGGTTTGTTCTCTGACATTTCTAGGTAGTTTTCTAGGGTATGGAAATCACAATTTGTTCACCCATTCTCCCACTGATATTCATTTGAGTATTTTCCAATCTGGGCTACAGTGAATGAAGCTGTTATGAATATTTTTGCACAAATCCCTTTGCAGACAATGCAATATCAATGTTCTAGTCTACTACCAAACCAACTCATGACCTCAGTAGAGAGATGGATAAGGAATATTCATTATGTTGTGTGCCAGTGTTCATGAATTCATGTTTTCAGGTCAGGTATTATCTCAGAGCTTTACTTATGTATTTATTTTAGACATATCCTGAGCCCAGTGCCTATCAGAATTATATTTCAAGGAGAATCAGATGTTTTTAGCCAAGTTTCTTGGTTGGCCATGGCGGTTCACCCAATATTCTGGATGATTCAACCTCACATTCTGTTTCAATACAGCTATTTATAAAATGAGGCCTGAACATTTGACTATGTACTCCACACATCAAAATTACTTTTTTAATATAAAGAAATACAGTCACAATAAAGGATCCTTCTGCAATTTGACATTGTGAAAAATTGTTTCTCCTTTGAACAGATTTATAAAACCTTGAACATTCATGTGGCATTAGTTGGCCTTGAAATATGGACAAATGGAGACAAAATAGAAGTAGATTCAAACATAGAAACTACGTTATTGCGTTTTTCAGCTTGGCAAGAAATAATCCTTAAAAAAAGGAAAAATTTTGATCACAGTATGTTACTCAGGTATGTAACTGCTCTATTTTTCTGCATATTAGATGGATTATTTTTAAAAAGAAAATAACACAATAAACTAAAATATTTTTAAAGCAGTTGACTTTTGGATAAAAGTCACGGGAATAAAACATTATGTGTGGTTAAATAGAATATTTCCAAATGAACTTGTAAATGATCTTTTTCCTAATAATGGCCTTTCAGCATCTCTTTTGATGTCCTTAAAGCTACCATATAAGGGTGGTACCAGCTTTACCTATTTCATCTACCTATAATCCCAGTATTTCTCCTAAGGCCTACCAAACAGCCCACAGATACACTTTCTAGAGATTTCTTCAAGAAAATCGGAGATATCAAGGGAAAATTTCATGAAAGGATGGGCATGATAAAGGACAGAAAACAATAAGGACCTAATAGAAGCAGCAGAAATTAAGAAGAGGTGGCAAGAATACACAGAAGAACTATACAAAAAAGGTCTTCATGACCCAGATAACCATGATGGTGTGATCACTCACCTAGAGCCAGACATCCTGGAATGCAAAGTCAAGTGGGCCTTAGGACGCATTACTATGAACAAAGCTAGTGGAGGTGATGGAATTCCAGTTGAGCTCTTTCAAATCCTAAAAGATGATGCTGTGAAAGTGCTACATTCAATATGCCAGAAAATTTGGAAAACTCAGCAGTGGCCACGGGACTGGAAAAGGTCAGTTTTCACTCCAATCCCAAAGAGGCAATTTCAAAGAATGTCAAATTACCAAACAGTTGTGCTCGTTTCACATGCTAAGATTAGGCTCAAAATCCTTCAAGCTAGGTTTTAGCAGTATGTGAACAGAGAACTTCCAGACGTATAAGCTGGATTTAGAAAAGGCAGAGGAACCAGAGATCAAATTGTCAACACCCATTGGGTCATAGAGAAAGCAAGGGAATTCCAGAAAAACATCTACTTCTTCTTCATTGAATACGCTGTGTGGATCACAACAGACTGTGGAAAATTCTAAAAGAGATGGAAATACCAGCCCACTTTGCCTGTCTCCTGCAAAACCTGTGTGCAAATCAAGGAGCAACAGTCAGAACCTTACATGGAACAACTGACTGGTTCAAAATTGGGAAAGGAGCACAACAGAGCTGTACATTGTCACCCTGCCTGTCACATGCAGAGTACATCGTGCCAAATGCCAGGCTGGATGAATCACAAGCTGGAATCAAGACTTCCAGGAGAAATATCAACAACTTCAGACATGCAGATGTGTGTGTGTGCTAAGTTGCTTCAGTTGTGTCCAGTTCTTTGCTACCTAATGGACGGTAGCCCATCAGGCTCCTCCTCTATCCATGGGATGCTCCAGGCAAGAATAATGGAGTGGGTTGCCTTGCCCTCCTCGAGGTGATCTTCTTGACCCAGGAATAGAACCTGTATCTCTCAGGTCTCCTGAATTGGCAAATGGATTATTTACCAATCACACCACCTGGAAGCCCAGATATGCAGATGATACCACTCTAATGGCAGAAAGTGAAGAAAAACTAAAGAGCCTCTTGATGAGGGAGTAAGAGGAGAGTTAAGGGGGGAAAAGTGAAAGCAGCAGCAGTTTTTCTTTTCTTGGGTTCCCAAATACCTGTGGACGGTGACTGCAGCCATGAAATTAAAAGACATTTCCTCCCTGGAAGGAAAGCTGTGACATACCTAGACAGTGTATTAAAAACTAGAGACATCACTTTGCCAACAAAGGTGTGTATAGTCAAAGCTATGGTTTTTCCAGTAGTCATGTAAGGATGTGAGAGTTGGATCATAAAGAAGGCTGAATGCCAAAGAATTGATGCTTTTGAATTGCAGTCTTGGAAAAGACTCTTGAGAGTCCTTTGGGCTCAAAGAAGGTCAAACCAGTCAATTCTGAAGGAAATTAACCCTGAATGTTGGAAGGACTGATGCTGAAGCTGAAGCTTCAGTACTTTGGCCACCTGATGCAAAGAGATGACTCTCTGGCAAAGACCCTGATTCTGGGAAAACTTGAGGACAGGAGGAGATGGGGGCAACAAAGGATGAGATAGTTGGATGGCATAATTGATTCAAAGGACATAAGTTTGGGCAAACTCCAGGGAAGTCTAACGTGCTATAGTCCATGGGGTCACAAAGACTCAGACACGACTTGGTGACTGAACAACAATAACAACAGCATTATCTCAGTGTTAACTTTCAGTCTGAGCTCAGAACTATGAAGCTTGCAAGGCCCATAATCGGAGCTCAGGTCTAGTCATTTGGCAGCTTGATGAGCAAACCAGAACTCCAGATATCATTTCTGGTATCACATGGCTGTAACACACACCTCCAGGGGAATAACTGTATCTGGTTTAGTTTCACACATTCATGTACTATGGACTTCCCTGCTGGCTCAGACAGTAAAGCGTCTGCCTATGATGCAGGAGACCCGGGTTCGATCACTGAGTTGGGAAGATACCCTGGAGAAGGAAATGGCAACCCACTCCAGTACTCTTGCCTGGAAAATCCCATGGACGGGAGGATCCTTGTAGGCTACAGTACATGGGGTCACAAAGAGTTGGACTACTATGTCCCAAAATCATGGGGGGTAAGCTAAAATATCATCATGACCTTCATTGCAAGCAAGACTAGCCCCTTTGCCTATTTCATGGATGTATGTCTTAAAATACTTAAGAAGTTAGTCTAGAAATATTAATTTGTTTTACGTAGACAAACTTTTACTTCCACAAATGTCTCTTATTCTGAGCAGTAGCTTCACACACTATTAGTATGTCTACAAATACGAATATGGGGAGGGGAGTGCTAAATGTTTAACTGAGCATCATATTTGGAATTTCTTATGTGTTGGGTTTCTTATATGTCTTCCTTCTATATTCACACAGATCTAGAAGTGATTGGATACCATACATGACATGATCATGCTGTGACTTTTGGTTTTCAGTAATGATGAGCTAAGTTAGAATCCAGATGGTGCTTTCTCTGGTGCTTCATCTCCATAGCTGATATTCTCTCAAGATTCCCAGAGTCTGGAAAGATCAGAATCCTAAATTCTTCTAAGATGCATAGTCAAATACTAAGACTTTTAAATATAGGGAGATAAATATTTCAGTAGTGAAGACAGAAAAATAGCATCTCTTCTTGAAGAAAAAATTTGAAGACTGAGAGTGGTCACCTGACCTGACAACCTTTCTTGTATTTGAACCCTCTGTATTATACTCTGAGTTTCCTTGGTGGCTCAGATGGTAAAGAATCTGCCTGCAATTTGGGAAACCTGGGTTCAGTCCCTGGGTTGGGAAGGTCCCCTGGAGAGGTAACAGCTACCCACTCCAGTATTGTGGCCTGGAGAATTCCATGGATGGTATAGTCCATGGCGTAGCAAACAGTTGGACATGATTAAATGACTTTTACTTTCACTTTATTATACTCTAAGAATGGCCCTCCAACCTATGACAGTTCTTATCAGAGTGGTAAAACTCTAAATGTTTTTCTTGAAAGCATATCAGATTTGGGTCCCTTTAGTATACACATCTACATCTGTCTTTTTAGACAATCCAGGAATAGCCCTTTTTTACATGAGAAGTGTTTTAAAATATCTGATAATAGTTATCAAATTCTCTATGAGTTTCTATGGTTGATTATTTTTGTTTTAATTTTCAAGCACAGCAAACTAATCATGGTGTTGAGTCTGTTCACTATGCTGCATTTTCCCCTCTGAACCCTTTTAAATATTTAGGTCTTTTAAGTGACCTTATCCAAAGTTGAGTGCAGGGCAAACTAAAGTTAAGTCAAATGGACTCTGACCTTATTATTATTTTTTTTGGAAAGGGCATTTTAAAGATTTAATTTCAAGATTACATTGACTTTCTCAATGCCTCTAAAATGCCACAGGTTTAAAATGAGTTTGATATCAACTAAGGTCATCCTCCATTCCAGAACTCCAGGAAAAAGAAAAGGCACTTTTCATGTGCCAGGGTACTAGCACTGGGGGGTTCACTTCACTTCAGTCTTTGTGTTAATTGAACTACAGGTTTATTTGTATCTTGTTCACAGTGGAAAGTGGCTCTATGCACCTGCGCATGGAACTTCCTATCCAGGGGGGATGTGCCTGCCCTATTATTCCTCCAGTGTTGTTAAGGTGGGCTGTGTTTTATTTATGTTACATTACTTAATTAGAAAGTTTACCTTAAATTACTGTAATTTTCTGTGTTCTATTGAAAGGAACCACGTATGCATCTTCTCATACATTCCCATCAAAATATGTCATGATGAAGCAAGCTGTCTTGTTTCTTTTTTAAATGGGAAATGTATTATAAAAACTATAGATACATAATGAAGATAAACCAGTGCTTTTCAGAATTTAAAAGAACATTGGATTTTGGATGATTCTTCCTGCCTTTGAAACCTTCTCTAGCATGATAAAAATAATCACACTGATAGAATTTTAGTATATACTTCTATTTTTTTACAAAGTCAAATATGAAATCTGAAGATTTCAGCAGCAACTTTCTGTCAAAATCCTATTAATGTTATAAGCCTACTGAAAGGTTCTTACATATGAAAAGAGTATTCACTACTTATGTTAATATATGAATTAACATACCAAGACCAGGAAAGCTCTTTTGCCTATTACATACAGTTATTTACAAGGACATGTGATGTACATAAAACTTGATGGCTGGTTTAGCAAGTGAACATAATTGCTTTTATTCAGAAAATGTATAAACCACTTCAAATATCATATCTAGATGGCCTTACCATTCAACTTTAGCAAACCTACAAACTATAAACTGCCAACACCGCTTGTTTACCCAATCCCTTCCCAGGTCACTAGGCTTCCAGTAAATTCTGTCAAAGTAACCCTAAAATAAGCTTTAAAATATCAAAGTTGATTTCCTGTAGTGTCTTTAGCAAGTTGCTGCTATGCTCAAGACAGTCTTGTAAGACCTTGAACTTAAAAGCTAGTACTTATTAAGATGACTACCTGATTTTTTATTCCCATGGTTTTTTTAATGATTATAATTTTGCCTATAGTATTTCAGAAATAAAATTTTGTATAATAGAGTCAAATTAATCTAATATAGGCTGTGCACTCCAATTATGACATTATAACCCATCCAGGATACATTTTAAATGTCATATGAGTAAGATGAAATAACCAAATTAGGGATGTTTTTCCTTTATAGTAACCTGATATCCCACTCCTCTTCAGAAATTAAAATTTTCCACTAACATAGAGATTAAAATATAAAATAGAAATAAGAACAGTGATAGCAATCAACGCTGCCTTGGATTTTCCATTACCGATCTGACTTTTTTCACAATAGTAACTCCCTCCTCATGATTGTATCACATTATTGCCTAATGTGAGATTATAAATTGAAAACCCTAAACTCACATATTTTTATTTTTATGCCCTTTGAATATCTAGTAATAGGAGACAATCAATAATGTTTATTTTATTGTTAGGATGCTAATTAATAAGTTTGAGCTATAGGTAAGAATGAGTCTATATAAAATCAATAATGACTATTACTTCACCAAAAAAAAAAAAATCTACAAATGTTAGAGTTAGAAACCATCAAAAGGTTTTGTCCAACTTCATTATATAAGTGAGGAAATTAAGGTTCAAGGATGGAAGATAATTAAGTTCATAATCTCTCAGATAAGATACTAATTAGCCAGAAGCTAGAAACCAGATCTTAGTGACTTCAAAGCTTATGTACTGTAGTGTGCTATTTTATAGAAGTTTCTAATGCAAGACTTTTTTGGCCTCAGGATCTTTTACCTGACCTCAATGCAATTGCAAGCAGAATGGCACACCAGTTGGGGCATAACCTTGGGATGAGTCATGATGATTACCCATGTACCTGTGCTTTGGAAAAATGTGTGATGAATAGCGGTGGAAGGTGAGATTCCAACAATATAGAGAAAATATTTCCATATTGGATGAATGACTTTGATTAAAACTCAGTACTGTAGGGCTACATGATTATTATATGGCTATGGTTTCCCTGGTGGCTCAGAGGGTAAAGAATCTGCCTACAATGCAGGTGTCCCAGGTTTGATCCCTGGGTCAGTAAGATCCCCTGGAAAAGGGAATGGCAACCCACTCTTGTATTCTTGCCTGGAGAATCCCATGGACAGGAGGAGCATGGTGGTCTGTAGTCTATGGGGTCACGAGTCTGACACAACTGAATGACTAGCACTATAGTTATTATCTGGAATTTATTATCTTACCCTAATATATCCTGGGTAAGAACTCAGTAACTGATATCTAATTTTACATTATTATCTACATAATTAGTAATATTTGGGAGGGGAACACACCATCCCCCTCAAATGTCTTCAAGACTTTAAAAATCCATCTGTAGTTAATCGTTGTATCAATAATAAAGAGCAGGGAGTCAAAACCAGAGGAAGATAGAAGGGAGGTGAGTTTCTATTTGAAAAGAAGTGTATCACATTCCTAGGATGTGTAAGAAAATAAATTGCTTCAAGAAATGTTATAGAGAACAATTTCTGCCAAGTATCCTGTTAGCTAGTGCTTATTTTTTTAAAAATTTGAACATGATTAAGTCCCTGTATTGAGAAGCTAGCAATCTTGCACAGATGATAGACAAATATATAGATTATTTCAAGTGGAACAGTAAAAGGTGACGTGGAAACAGCAGGTAGAGTTGGCCTAGATGTAGGCTGCTGGGGGCTTCCCAGGCAGGACTAGTGGTAAGGAGCCTGCCTCCCAATGCAGCAAACATAAGAGACGCGGGTTCAATCCCTGGGTTGGGGAAATTCCCTGGAGGAGGCCATGGCAACCCACTGCAGTATTCTTGCCTAGAAAATCCCATGGACAGAGAAGCCTGGTGGGCTACAGTCCATAGGGTCGCAGAGGTGAACGGGGCTGAAGTGACTCAGCACGTACGCACACAGGCTTCAGGAAGCATATTCTGGAAGATATATAGTCTGAATATTTTCACTAAACTAGCCTGTGTTGGCTGTATTTCAAGAAGACATTTCATGTAATAAAGAGCCCAGTTACTGGTCGGCAGTAACTGTAAGGCGAGAGCAGGAAAGGTAAGTGGACTTTGAGTCCATCATCTCTGTTTGTTCTGTTTTGGCTGCTCTGGGCCTTTGTTGCCGCGTGTGGGCTTTTCTCTAGTTGAGACGAGCAGGGGCCACTCTCAGGTTGGGGTGCATGGGCTTCTCATTGCGGTGGCTTCTCTCCTTGTGGTGTGCAGGCTCTAGACCATGGGTTCAGCAGCTGTGACACATGGACTTTGTTGCCCTGAGGGATGTGGAATATTCCTGAATCAGTGATTGAACCCACGTCCTCTGCATTGGCAGGCAGACTCCCAGCTACTACAGCACCAGAGCAGTCTTCTCTTTGTTTTTTCTTCTCATTTCTTCATAGAATTTTCACAGCTGTTCTACCACTATGCATTGATATGGTTAATCTTTATTTTTAACTCATCCTATCTCTAGCATTCCTGCACTGAAATTCAGTAAATGCAGCAAAACCCAGTACCAGCAATTTCTCAAGGATTACCAGCTGACATGCATGTTCAATGTTCCATTTTCTGACAAGCTATCTGATTACCCATATTGTGGAAACAACAGGTTGGATGATGGAGAGGAGTGTGATTGTGGCCTTGTTCAGGTATTTGCAAATGATGTTGTCTTTCGATTTACAAAATGTCAACTCAGCTAGAGACTAGGCATGGATGTAGCCATTAATCAACCATGGTAATCCTTGTAAAGCTTCAACAAGTATGCTTTAAAAAAAAAAAAGAATTGGAAACATGCTGTTGGGTACCCTCTTTGCAAAGCTTCTTCCCAAGTCATGAATTGTGTGTAGTGATCTTACCTCAGGTCCAAAGCGTCTCACTAGCCTGGTTTATGTGCTAATTGGCCTTCTAGTGCGAAGGGCCCATAGGTCTCCTTAAGTCCGATCTCTCTTCCACAGTAGGATATTTTCTACAAAATCCCACACAGTCAGTTGAGTTTGACTCAGGGCCTTATGAAGCTAGTCTATATCCCTGTTGACCAGTTCACATTATTAGAAAATTTAATTGAGCAGAAACCTTCCAAACGTACACAGATTTATAGCAGTCTCTGGAACATTTAGAATAAGCCTTGCAGGCATATTTTAAATTAATTCTTAATCTGCTTTTCTTCTACATAGAAGCTCTTTCTTTCTAGAGCTCATCATATAGTATGTGTCCTAGATAACAACTTCTCACATTATCAAGTGTTCATCCATCACCCCGGTATGTTGTTAGAATGTGGACTCTGATTCAGTATGTCTGAAGTAGAACTGAGATCCTACTCCTACGAACCTGCAACATTGTGCTGATGCTGAAAGTCCAAGGACAACATTTTTAGGAGCTATGCTATAGACATTGCACAAATCAAAAACAGTGTAGTAAAATGGCCACAAAGAGACTCCATGATCAGAGTGGAGACTGACAGGTCCAGAGGTTACGGCTTCTAGTTTTCAAATGTCTAGCTTAAATGTGAAAAGAACCTTAACTTCGGAAACTGATGCTTTTGCCCATGTGCATTGTTTGGAATACTGCTACAGCTTCATTCTAACACTTGAAATACCTTACTTCGGGGTTCCTAATCCAGGCCATGGACCAGTTTGTAGCCTGTTAGGAACCGGTCTGCACATCAGCAGGTGAGCAGTGAGAGACTGAGCAAAGCTTCATTTGTATTTACAGCCACTCCCATTGGTCACATCACCACCTGAGCTCCGCCTCCCTTCTTATCTTCGGAGGTATAATAAATATAATGCACTTAAATCATCCTGAAACCATCCCTCAAACTCTCAGTCCATAGAAAAAGTGTCTTCCATGAAACTGGCCCCTGGTGCCAAAAAGGTCACAAACTTTGGGCTTGTGAGAGTACTGAACAGCTCCAAGGGAAGGAAACAAAGTAAAAGTCCCAGACACTAGTTGGAAGCAGGAGCCTTTATACACTTATCACCATCAAGGACCATGCACTTAAATTGAACTCTGAAAAACAACTAAGACTAAGTTCCACAGAAACACAGTAAATGAACTCTTTAAACAGGAGCCAAAGTACAAAGCACTTCTGATCTTGCATTTCTGATGATTGCCAGGACTGCAGTAATCCTTGCTGTGATGCACGCAAATGTATGTTGAAGCCAGGGTTTACTTGTGCTGAAGGAGAATGCTGTGACTCTTGCCAGGTAAGAGACTCTGCTAGGACTGGGTTTCTCTGTTTTCAGTTTATTAAGTATACATAGAACCAAAGAGTTGTCTGATCACTGAGTGACCTTACATTACCAATCCCAGATTGCAGCCAGATTTGCTGGTACTCAATAGAGCCTCTTCTGAAATACTCTGAATTTTAAACCCTGATCTGTGCTGTGGTTTGGGAAGTGGAGAAGTGGGTAAGCAGTGCTTAGAATTTTAGAAATGGAATCATACAACCAACATTATTTTTGGTCTTTTTTCAATGACTACTAGCCTATTTCACCTTAGCTGAGGAGGGAAATGGCACCCCTACTTCAGTGAACTTACAGGGAAAATGGTTTTATTGGAATTGGAAGCGATAGTAACGAGTACCTAGAGATAGATCCCTAGGAAGGATGACCAGAAACCCAAATGCCTCCTTCCAAGGGTTCACTGACTCTTCCTTCATACCATTGGATCATGAACTGAAAAAGGAAAGGAAGTGTGTTTAATTCATCCTCAAATCTTTCCAAAACCCCAGCACAATCAAATGCATATTGAATGACTAAATGAGAGAATACTTCCATGTCATGCCCTCCCTAAATGAAAGTCAACATATATATATAGTCAGGGGTTCCCAGTTCTGTGTGCATGGTGGGCTGGGGGAGAGGGACGAAGGAATGAAGAAGGCGAGATGAGAAGAACACAAGCACATTTCCCCATTTTAAATGATTCCAACTCTGTCCCAAGGCTGTTCCAAATCCAAACTTCAATACCACCAGCTTGTCATTCCTAAAATTATATACAAGCCAATGAAGATAGTAATTCTCAGTGGAAAGCAGAAGGAAATCATGATCTCATGACCCATCCTTAAAAAAATTTCTTTTAGTGAAATTAAATGGGTCAACCTACTTACTTCCTCCTACTCACTGACCCTTCCTTGCCTGCCTAAGGATGCCCAAGAATCAATCTCTTCATTTTTCTTCCACAGATAAAAGAAGCAGGGTCTATATGCAGACCAGCAAAAACTGAATGTGATTTTCCTGAGAGGTGCACTGGCCACTCTTCGGGGTGTCCTAAGGACCAATTCCAAGTAAATGGATTTCCTTGCAAGAATGCAAAAGGCTACTGCTTCATGGGGAGCTGTCCCACCCGGGATGATCAGTGCTCTGAATTGTTTGATCATGGTAAGAGACAGTGGCAGTGAATGATGGGTAAAGATAATAGATGCTGTTTCTCTGTTACTGTCCTTTAGGAATTTGGGGGGCAAGATTGGAGATAATGTCATTTATGGCAGATATGACCTGGCACTTTTCTAAATAATACCTTTAATATTCATTGATTTTACCTCTAATATTAATTGACTGGCTTCCCATGTGGCTCAGTGGTAAAGAAGCCACCTGTCAATGCAGGAGATGTAGGAGACACAGGTTCAATCCCTGGGTTGGGAAGATCCCCTGGAGGAGGAAATGGCAACCCACTCCAGTATTCTTGCCTGGAGAATCCCATGGACAGAGGAGCCTGGCGGGCTATGGTCCATGGAGTCGCAAAGTGTCAGACACAATTGAGCAACTAGGAATGCACACACACACACATTAGTTGACTATCTAAGTATGTGGGTTAAGGTATGTTTGTTTCTTATTTCTATCCATATTGCTTCCTAAAATATCCTCCTGAGGCAATAAGATAGTTTTAAAATTTATTTATCCCATTCTGTTTCACTACTATGTAAGTGACAATGAAATTTCAATGACATAAGAAAAGTAAGGCATTTATGATTTGTCACAATCATGTTGTCATTGTTTTACTTTTATCATACTGCTTTGGATCCCAGAAGCGAAAGCCAGTTCTGATATTTGCTACAAGATGAATACAATTGGAAATAAATTTGGATACTGCAAAAACAAGGGACGCATATTAATTCCTTGTGAAGAAAAGTAAGTACCTTGTAAAGAAAAGCATATGCCCTCTCAAAGCATTTTGCAAAATCAGAACAGCTTTTACTCTGACAGCCGACAGTCTCTCTTTCTCACTCAGGAGATTAGGAAGAGAGGGCTTCCCTGGTGGCTCAAGTGGTAAAGAATCTGCAAGCAATGCAGGTGTCCTGGGTTTGACCTCTGGGTTGGAAAGATCCTGTGGAGTAGGGATGGCGACCTACTCCAGAACTATTGCCTGGAGAATTTCATGGACAGAGGAGACTGGTGGGCGAAGGTCCATGGGGTAGCAAAGAGTTGGACATAACTGAGTGACTAAAATGTTTGCTTTTTAGAAAGAAAGGGGAGCAAGAAGGGAGAGACCACACATCCCTGATGGAATTAACTGGTTTTTATGTTCTGTATTTTGTAACTGAAAATCATGGAATGCAGGGAAGGATGGGAAGATTTATGATTCTTAGGAAGAAAAGGAGGGGAAGGAACTACAAAAAAAGAGAGAGAGATAGAAGGAAAGAGAAAAAGGGAGAAATAGGTAGAAAAGGGGGAAAGAAAAAGAGAGAAGGAAAGTCATCAGAAGAAAGAAAGATAGATGCTGACATTGAAAACAGGATGGGAGAACTGAATATTAGATCCAATTTCTAAAACACATATGCTAAACCCATATTCTGTGTTTGTTTATGATGAATGATATGGTTTCTATATTCTCCCAAACAAGATCTGTACTGAATGCAACAATAATAAAAACCTAGAGTCAAGTTCAACTTTGCTTCTAAATATACTTCTAAAAAAGGACACTTAATTTACTTTATTTCCAACTGCTGCCTCATCTGTGAAAAGGGGGTTATGATAATAGCAACTTCATAGATTTTTTTAAACAAGAATCAACTGATGTGCTCTATGCAAGAAAGAAAAAAATTTAATGTCCTGATTCAAGTTCTGTCAGTTCAGTTCAGTCACTCAGTCGTGTCCCACTTTATGCAACCACATGGGCTGCAACATGCCAGGCCTCCCTGTCCATCACCATCTCCCAGAGATTACTCAAACTCATGTCCATTGAGTCAGTGATGCCATCCAACCATCTCATCCTCTGTAGTCCCCTTTTCCTCCTGCCCTCAATCCTTCCCAGCATCAGGGTCTTTTCCAATGAGTCAGTTATTTGCATGAGGTGGCCCAAGTATTGGAGTTTCAGCTTCAGCATCAGTCCTTCCAATGAATATTCAGGACTGATTTCCTTTAGGATGGACTAGTTGGATCTCCTTGCAGTCCAAGGGACTCTGAAGAGTCTTCTCCAACACCACAGTTCAAAAGCATCAATTCTTCGCTGCTCAGCTTTCTTTATAGTCCAAATCTCACATCCACACATGACTACTGGAAAAACCATAGCCTTGACTAGACGGACATTTATTGACAAAGTAATGTCTCTGCTTTTTAATATGCTGTCTAGGTTGGTCATCACTTTTCTTCCAAGGAGTAAGCGTCTTTTAATTTCATGGCTGCAGTCACCATCTGCAGTGATTTTGGAGCCCCCCAAAATAAAGCCAGCCACTGTTTCCACTGTTTCCCCATCTATTTGCCATGAAGTGATGGGACCAGATTCCATGATCTTCATTTTCTAAATGTTGAGTTTTAAGCCAACTTTTTCACTCTCCTTTTTCACTTTCATCAAGAGGCTCTTTAGTTCTTCTTGGCTTTTTGCCATAAGGGTGATATCATCTGCATATCTGAGGTTATTGATATTTCTCCCAGCAATCTTGATTCCAGCTTGTGCTTCATCCAGCCCAGAGTTTCTCATGATGCACTCTGCATATAAGCTAAATAAGCAGTGTGACAATATACAGCCTTGACATACTCCTTTCCTGATTTGGAACCAGTCTGTTGTTCCATGTCCAGTTCTAGCTATTGCTTCCTGACCTGATCAGGAGGCAGGTCAGGTAATCTGGTATTCCTATCTCTTTAAGAATTTTCCACAGTTTGTTGTGATCCACACAGTCAAAGGCTTTAGCATGGTCAATAAAGAAGTAGATGTTTTTCTGGAACTCTCTTGCTTTTTTGATGATCCAACAGATGTTGGAAATTTGATCTCTGGTTCCTCTGCCTTTCCTAAATTCAGCTTGAACATCTGGAAGTTCACGGTTCACGTACTGTCGAAGCCTGGCTTAGAGAATTTTGAGCATTACTTTACTAGCATGTGAGATGAGTGCAACTGTGTGGTAGTTTGAGCATTCTTTGGCATTGCCTTTCTTTGGGATTAGAATGAAAACTGACCTTTTCCAGTCCTGTGGCCACTGCTGAGTTCTCCAAATTTGCTGGCATATTGAGTGTAGCACTTTCAAAGCATCATCTTTTAGATTTGAAATAGCTCAACTGGAATTCCGTCACCTTACTAGCTTTGTTCCTAGTGATGCTTCCTAAGGCCCACTTGACTTCGCATTCCAGAATGTCTGGCTCTAGGTGAGTGATCATACCATTCTGATTATCTGGGTCATGGAGATCTTTCTCATATAGTTCTTCTGTGTATTATTGCCAGCTCTTCTTAATATTCTTGCCACCTCTTCTGCTTCTGTTAGGTCCCTACCAGTCCTTTGCATGAAATGTTCCCGTGGTATCTCTAATTTTCTTGAAGAGATCTCTAGCCTTTCCCATTCTATTGTTTTCCTCTATTTCTTTGCACTGATCACTGAAGAAGGCTTTCTTATCTCTCCTTGCTATTGTTTGGAACTGTGCATATAAATGGGTATATCTTTCCTTTTCTCCTTTGCTTTTCACTTTTCTTCTTTTCACAGTTATTTGTAAAGCCTTCTCAGACAGCCGTTTTGTTTTTTTGCATTTCTTTTACTTGGGGATGGTCTTTAACCCTGTCTCCTGTACAGTGTCATGAACCTCCATCCATAGATCCTCAGGCATTCTGTCTATCAGATCTAATTCCATTAATCTATTTGTCACTTCTGCTCAATAATCATAAGGGATTTGATTTAGGTCATACCTGAATGGTCTATTGGTTTTCCCTACTTTCTTCAATTCAAGTCTGAATTTGGCAATAAGGAGTTCATGATCTGAGCCACAGTCAGCTCCCAGTCTGTTTTTGCTGACTGTATAGGGCTTCTCGATCTTTGACTGCAAAGAATATAATCAATCTGATTTCGGTGTTGACCATCTGGTGATGTCCATGTGTAGAGTCTTCTCTTGTGTTGTTGAAAGAGGGTGTTTGCTATGACCAGTGCATTCTCTTGGCAAAATTCTATTAGCCTTTGCCCTGCTTCATTCCATACTCCAAGGCCAAATTTGCCTGTTACTCCAGGTGTTTCTTGACTTCCTACTTTTGCATTCCAGTCCCCTATGATTAAAAGGACATCTTTTTGGAGTGTTAGTTCTAGAAGGTCTTGTAGGTCTTTATAGAACCATTCAACTTCAGCATTCTTGGTCAGGGCATAGACTTGGATTACTGTGGTATTGAGTGGTTTGCCTTGGAAATGAGCAGAAACCATTCTGTCATTTTTGTGATTGCATCCAAGTACTGCATTTCAGACTCTTTTGTTTACTATGATAGCTACTCCATTTCTTCTAAGGGATTCTTGCCCACAGTAGTAGATATAATGGTCATCTGAGTTAAATTCACCCATTCCACTCCATTTTAACTCGCAGATTCCTAAAACATCACCTTTCAGTCTTGCCATCTCCTGTTGGAAAAAGGAACAGTGACCCCACAAGAGACTGACCCAGACTTGCCCAAGAGTGTCCAGGAGTTTCCAGTGGAGGCATGGGTTGGTGGTGACCTGCTGCAGGGCTGAGGGCACTGAGTTTAGCAATGCATGCTTGGGATCTTTTGAAGGAGGTCGCCATTATCTTCATTACCTCCACCACTGTTTGGCCTCAGGGAGGCAACACAGCTCCACTGGTCAACAGAAAATTGGATTAAAGATTTACTGAGCATGGCCCCACCCATCAGAACAAGACCCAGTTTCCTTGTCAGTGAGTCTCTCCCACCAGGAAGCTTCCATAAGCCTCTTATCCTTCTCCATCAGAAGGCAGACAGACTGAAAACCCCAAGCACAGAAAACTAACCAATCTGATCACATGGACCACAGCCTTATCTAACTCAGTGAAACTATGAGCCATGCCGTGTAGGGCCACCCAAGACAGATGAGTCACTGACAAAATGTGGTCCACTGGAAAAGGGAATGGCAAACCACTTCAGTATTCTTACCTTGAGAAACCATGAACAGTATGAAAAGGCAAAAAGATAGGACACTGAAAGATGAACTCCCCAGGTTGGTAGGTGCCCAATATGCCACTGATTCAAGTTACGCTTATCCAAATTACTAATAATATTCTCCTATAAGCTTGAGCTAATATTACTTTATGAGAATCACCTAGGTATCATAAAGAAATATAGTCATTTAGTATCTTTGTCTGCTCATCTGTTTTCAGGGTCAGGACTTTGTCCAGAGGCTTACCTGGCCTCTCCTGGGCTCTGACAAGCCTAGGTTTAAAAAAAAAATAAGCAGGCCACTCCACTGCCAGCCTAGTTTCTAGCAGTCCTATTTCTTGTCCCAAGTGTGAGCCAATATTCTTGCTTCCCTTCAGAGATATCAAATGCGGAAAGATATTTTGCACAGGTGGGCATCACTCTTTTGTCCTTGGAGAAGAGAAGATCTACCACCTTAAGAAGCATCTGAAACAGAATACCAGTGAATGCAAAACCTTCTATTTGTACCATGATTCTAAGGATTTTGGCCTGGTTGCACCTGGCACAAAATGTGGCGATGGAATGGTAAGATGAATGCCCTTTGTTTTATTAAAACTTCTTGTTCAGTCACTTAAAACTTCACTGGATCCTGTAATTGGCCCCAGAGGGCCTATCTATGGGAACACAGAAAAAAGTCTGCAACATTTTTTAAATGAGCAGAGTAGCAACAATACTATTCATTTTAATAAATAAATATTCATTTAAATATTTTATACCAATTATGTAAATGTTACAAATGTGCTTAATTAGTGTCTTAAAGTAGATGCTTAATGAAATTATAGACTTAATGTTTGAATTTAATTGACTATGAAGTAGCCATACAGTCTTCATTTATTTTACTCATTCAGATGTATTTACTGGGCAGGTACTACGATGCCAGTATCTGTGCAGGACACAGATGATGTAAAGATGTGTGTATATGAGAATTTCTTAGATTAAATCAAGTGTATCATTACAATTCAACTCAGTTGCTTTCATTGTGATGTGATCAATGTGTATGAGTCCAAAGGAAGTGACTGAATTTTCTTAGAGAACATGGAATGGCATCTCCTGATGCCATTGAATGAGAGACATTTCAGCTTCGACTTTATGAACATTTTCAACATACAGAAGAAGAGAAAAGACATGTTTCTGTGTTTTAACGAACTTTTATTGGAGTATAGTTTCTTTATAATGTTGTATTAGCTTCTACTGTGTAGTAAGATGAATCAGCTGTATGTTTACATACATCCCCTCTCTTTTGGATTTCCTTCCCATTGATATCACCCCAGAGCACTGAGCAGAGTTCCCTGTACTGACAGGGGGCTCTCATCAGGTATCTATTTTATATAGTGTATCAATATTGCATACATGTCAATCCCAATCTCCCAATTCATTCCACTCCCTCCTTTCCCCCTTGGTGTCCATGTGTTTGATCTCTACATCTGTGTCTGCTTCTGCTTTGCAAATAAGATCATTTTTCTCAATTCTACATATATGCATTAATATATATTTGTTTTCCTTTTTCTGACTTCACTCTGTATGGCAGACCTATACAGGTCTGTCCACATCTCTACAAATGACCCAATTTTGTTCCTGTTAAATATTACTCTGAATAATATCCCATTGTATATATGTGTCACATCTTCTTATCCATTCTTCTGTCAGTGAACATTCAGGTTGCTTCCATGTTCTGGCTATTGTAAATAGTGCTTCAATAAATATTGGGGTGCGTGTGTCTTTTTGAATTATGGTTTTTGCTGTGTATATACCCAGTAGTAGGATTGCTGGACCATATGGTAGCTCTATTTTTAGTTTTTTATAGAATCTACATACAATTCTCTGTAGTAACTGTATCAATTTACATTCCCACCAATAGTGCAAGAAGGTTTCCTTTTCTCCACACCCTCAGTATTTATTGCTTGTATATATTTTGATAATGGTCATTCTGACTGGTGTGAGGTGATAGATCATTGTAATTTTGATTTGCATTTCTCTAATAATTAGTGATGATGAGCATATTTTCATGTGTATGTTGGTCATCTGTGTGTCCTCTTTAGAAAAATGTCTATTGAGGTCTTCTGCTCTTTTTTTATTGGGTGCTTGTTTTTTGATATTTGAGTAGCATGAGTTGTTGATATATTTTGAATATTGATCCCTTGTCCATTGCTTCATTTGCAAATATTTTCTCCTATCCTGAGGGTTGTCTTTTCATCTTGTTCATGGTTTGAGAAAATGCTTTTTATTTTTTTTTTTGGATTTGTGTTTGACTTTATTTTATTTTATTTTTTTTAGAAAATGCTTTTTTAAAAAGACATACCGACATAATATACAAAGGTACAAAGTATAACATATGGCATATCCAGGTAACTGACAGCGTTAGTGTGATTGGAGTTCTAGGTGAAATGGTAGGAAACTAAGTTGAACAAATAGAATGAAGCTAGGTTTGGGAAGGTTTTATCACTCTTAGGTGAAGACTTGAGAATGTATACTAAAAACAATAGCCAGCGCATCACGGTTTATAAGCACAAGAGTATTTGAAAAATAGAATACTGTATTAAAATCAGCAACTTTGAAACTGAAAAGTATCTATGACATGGCTCCCCTTCTCTACACCACCACCCACAAACATTACAGTATCATTCATATAATGAGATAGAAAATTAATTGGAAAGTAAAAATTCAGCATATAAAAAAGGAATCAGAAGTTAATAATTTCATAGAGACCTATATTTCATATTTCAAGTGCATAATTTTAACTACAGAGGGACAGAGGAGCCTGGCAGGCTACAGTCCATGTCGCAGAGTCGGACACAACTGAGCTACACACCTCATGAAAATGACTAAATAAATATAAAAATGGTGAGGAGTCAACAGTTATGAAAATTTGTTTGTGTACCAACCACCATCTAGAAAGGTCAAGAGTTTTCAATAACAGAGTGTATGAGGCATCAGTTTAAAGAAAATACCAAATAGTTTTCTATTCATTTCAGGTAAGGAAAATCAGCCAGAGGTATCAAGCAAAAGTATGAGGTCCCCTTCGTAGAGTGACTGGGATTCAGCAAAGAGGTTGAAAGGGGAGCAGTTGTTAAAGAGCATTTGGTGATGGTGCAAACACACTGTGAGTAGGTACCACCACCACAGAGGACCTAAATCCTTCAAGAGAAATCTCAGCACAGAAGTGCGCCACTCATAATTGTGGCAGTTCTTGAACCAGTTCCTCATAAGGGAATCCATGCATAGTAAACACTAGCCTATAGAGTTATCATAAGGACACTACTTATAGAATTTGTCATTTTCATATTTACACTGAGCTACTAGTTTTTTAGATGTGAGGAACTTCAAATGCCTTAAAAGCATTCTAGTTTCTCTTAGTAGTTATTCTTTCTGGGTCAGTTTCATTTGGCATAGGAAAATAGGGCAAACATATGCCATTACACCTAGGTGCCCTTTTCCTTAGTTATACTAGGAACTTACAACATAGATAAGAAAAAAAAGATGAAAAATAAAAGAGAAGAGAAAGTAAGAGAGAAAGAAGACTGCAGAGAGAATAAGAGTAAAGAGGAAATTCATTGGTTCGTTCTCTCGTACAGAATTGCTCAAAATTGGTCTCTGTAGCTATCTCTTTAGTAAATATTCAAAATTGCAAAATAAAAGTAAGAAACATCTCAGTATTTTCCTTTGGTTGAGCCTGAAATACTTGAAAAGAGGTCAGCATGGATTTTAAAACAAAGTTTCTCAGTATTTAATCATGTATATAGAAAACCCATTCTGTAAACATAAGGAAGAAGACTAAAAAACATACATGAAAGAAACCAGGATGGTGAACAAAGGAGAGTCTGAGAAATCAAAGATGATAGTTTCCGTGAAAGTGATACATTTTTAGAAAGAGGAAAATGCTTTAGAAATAAATTAAATTTATATTTTAATGGATATATGACATGATATAACATTATATAGCAACATAGAAGAAATATAACATATATGTTATATATAACATATAATAAACATAACATTATAAAGCAACTATGTGCCACTAAAAATTAATTTAAAAAATAAAATACACTATTATTCTTAAAAAGGGTACTAAATTTATAAAAATGATATAATTTGCAATCCAGAAGCACTGCCTTCAGAGTACAAAATGAATCATGATTGCTTTCATGCAATTTATGCAGTAAGCCATGGAATCAAAACTATAAAAAATCAGTAAATTGAAAGCTACTCTTCTTAAAAAAGAAAACTAAGATGAAATTTCTAAAAAGAAAAGAAAGTGAATTAAAGTAAGAAACGTAGTTCAAAGAAATCTGATACAGATTTAATAGGAATTCTAGATAAAGAAACTGTTTGTTTAGTCCCTAAATCATGTCTGACTCTTTGCAAATAAATGAGCTAAGATAAGGCATGTAATAACCAAGAGCAACAGAACAGTAATTTGGTTATAAAACTTACCCCCCCAAAAGCATAATTTAAAACAAAATTAATAAGTATAAATCATAATAATAAGATTAATGGATATTGAAAAAATGCCCAGCTAGCGACTGTGATATAACAAACATGGATCCTTATCAAATTAGAAGAAAATGTGGTAGAAATAATAGAAGAGATTGCTGCAATTACAATGGTAGAATCATTGATAGGTTAACATTTGAAGAAGTCATGAGGACATAGACATTATCATGATTAATGTATTTGTATATAACAATATTTGACTGTACAGTGCATTTTTTTCAATACCCACTTAACATTTATAGAAGAGTTCCTCTTCCACAGAAGACTGTACATGTGGTTTTTCATTAGGACAAATGATGCAAATTCTGAGTGAGTAATTTTAATTGATCTTGGTGACTTCATTTCTAGGTGTGCAGCAGTGGTGAATGTGTGACTATTGAAAAGGCCTACAATTCAACTGATTGCTCTGCTCAGTGCAATGAAAATTCTGTAAGGTTTGACTCCTTTTTAAATTGATGTCTTACCAGTCACTTGTTTGCATGAGACTTCATTCCCAAGCCTGTGTATAAGTACAGGTGCACCCATGTGTGTGTATGTATGTATATATGTATGCATGGTGATTTTTAAATCAAATATGCATTTGGGATCCATATTTTTTCATGCATTAATAATACTGAACCAAAGAGCCAAACCAAGTGTTATACATAGATAATGCCAATATTGCAAGTATATATCCTGTCATTGGACTGGTAATCTAGAAACCAAGTAACTTATGAATGTATGAAGTTTAAACCAAAAGTTTAAAGTTGGGTCTATTGGGACTTCCTTGGCAGACCATGGTTAAGACTTTAAGACTTCACCTTCCAGCACAAGAGATGCAGGTTCAATCCCTCATCAGGGAACTGAGATCCCACATACCTCTTGGCCCAAAACCCAAAGCATAAAACAGAAGCAATATTGTAACAAATTCAATAAATTCTTTAAAAATGATCTACTTCCAAAAGAATCTTTTAAAAAAGTTGCATCTATCATAATTTCTCTTACAGTTAAATTATACCAGTATTGACGTTAGTCCAAAGCTTTTGAGAAAAACAAACAACAAACAAAAAGGCAACAACAATTTTTTCACTCATTTTGACACTGTTCAATACTAGCAGTATCTAGCAGTTTGCTTTTGTGGGTAACATTTTTCCTAAGCCAAATTAATCAGTAACACTTGATTAATCAGTATAGAGTTGTACTCTTTCAAGAGTTTTATGTATATATTAAATTTTAAAAGTTTCATAATCACATTAAAAGATAAGTACTATTCCTATGCCCTCTTTTAGAGATGGTGAAGCAATCACACTGATATTCTATGAAAGGAAAAGCTGAGCTTTCGGTATAGAAACAGTGTATGTCCTTAACCATTACACAATGCTTTTTGATGAAGTAAACATTTATGCCACTGCTTTTTTTTTTTTTCCAAATTAATGTTCTCTCACTAAATCTAGTTGAAGTCTTCTCTGGCTATGATATGCCCAATTTTAGCAAGAGCTGTTTATTCAATAAGATTGATGGCTTCTGGAAAGATAAGCCAAACCATCTGGTTCATTCAGTTTCAAATTTGTCAGAATCCTCTTGATCCAAGACCATCTTCAAAGATAGCTGCTCCTTATATTTTATTGCCTTAGTTTTCCCAACCTTGATTTTGGGTTCGTTAATTAACCAGTAAAAAGTTCATGAGTGTGTGCGTGTGTGTATTTTGGGTGTGTGTGAATGCTAAGCTGAATGAGGTGGAAAACACAAGTTTTATGTCAGTCATGTGATGAATTATTTGATTGATGGCTCTTCCAGGTGGATGATGGTGACCTTGAGTGTCAGTGCAAGGGAATTCAGGCATCTGCGGAATGGGAGGAAACCTTAAATGTTACCAGTGAGCATCCCGGAATAATATACTATCTTAGAACGTCCTGGTGGTCCTGTGGCTAAGACTCTGCTTCCACTGAAAGGGGCATGGGTTTGATCCTTGGTCAGGGAAGTTCTGCATTCTGTGAACTGTGGCCAAAAAATAAATAAATAATAATCATTTAAAAATATATAGGGGCTTGCCTGGTGGCTCAGTGGTAAAGATTTCGCCTGCCAATGCAGGAGACATGGGTTTGATCCCTGGGTTGGGAAGATCCCCTGGGGTAGGAAATGGCAACTGACTCCAGTATTTTTGCCTGGGAAATCCAGAGGAGCCTGGCAGGCTACAGTCCATGGGGTCACAAAGGGTCAGACACGACTTAGCAACTAAACAATAAAACAACAAAGTATATATACATAATATCTTGCATATATCAGAAACCTCACCAGTGAGAATACTTTCTGCTTATATGACAGGTCTACTACACATGTGTTGTATTTCTGTATGGATTTGTATGATATTTTTCTTATTGTTAATGTTTAAGTACCCAAGTTTGAATTTACTGCAATTAACCTGGAATGAATGTATCTTCTTCCAGTTAAATGTGGATTGGTTCCTCCAAGAGTCCTTAACCCAGTAAGGCCTTTTCTGTAGTCAGTTAATCACTGATAATCCAAATTTTCCCACTAACTGGGATTCTCTTAAACATAATGGAATCTTGGGTGGCGTGTCCATTGCTAATACAGATAATAATTTGTACAATGTTCTGGTCTTTGACTTTATTAAAAAAAAAAAACAGGAGGGTAGAATTAAAGTCCTTCAAGGAAGACAGAAACATAATTGTAACTTCTTAGTTAAATGTTAAGATTCCATGGTTCCAAGGTTGATGTCTTGGCTGAAGCTCATGTGTTTTAATGTTACAGATATCTCCATCCTAGTGGTCGTGCTTGTCCTGGTTATTTTTGGTGTTGTGGTTGTCATATTACTAATTCGTTACAAAAAATGTATTATGTTGAAGCAAGTTCAAAGGTAGGTCTGAATTCTTTATGTGTTGAAGGGGACCATTACCTAGACAATATAAACTTTGTGGCCACAAAGAATACTTGATGGGAAGAAGGTATAAGCCTCTTACTGAAGACCAAGTAAAAGTGTAACAAGTTAAGCTTTTACACACTTCATTCTCATTCAAATATTAGCCCCATGGTTCCCAAACTTCACTGCACATTGGAATTACAAGGTTTTTTTTTTAACACTAAATTTGGTTCCTCCTTCAGATTTAATTGTTATAGAGTGTCACATGAGTATCAATCAGTCTTTTAAAAATCTCCTAGATGATTTACTATTAACCACAGGCTTCTCCCATACTATAGCTGGTATCAATATTCAATTCCTTCTTGACAGCCCACCTGGAGAAAGCCTAGGAGTGGAGAATAAAGGATACTTTGGTGATGAACAGCAAACAAGGAATGAGCCCATCTTATCTGATATTCATCCTCTACATGTAAGAAAAAATTGATTGCAGTAGTTTTAATCAATTGCAAAAGTAGCTGTATGTATGTTTGAAGTGAACTATCCCTAAGTTAAGTGAAGTGGGAAATGTAGAAGAATAGTCTAACATGATTCCACATCAATGACCTTCTGTTGACATGTAGGGAAGGAAAGAATGGCAGGATTCAAATAAGTCAAGACATTATTTCTGAATAGAATATGTTGGTTAAATACAATACTAATTTGTGCACAGCTGGAAAATTTTACAAACATAAACCTCCACAAGTCTTAATAAATCTAAAAGAGTTGGTGTCATACAAAATATGTCCTCAAAATAAAATTCTATTAGAAATCAGTGGCAGAAAAATATTGGGAAAAGCCTTTTTCTCAAAAAAATTAAAAATGTACAGTGTATAGTGTTGAGAGATAAATATTCAGGGGTGAAAATATAATTGTGTGCAAGGAGAAGGTCATTACTTTAAGTTTGGAAAGTGGTTAATTTAGATGGGTAGGAAGTGGGTGGCAGTAATGATGGGAAACTTGAAATTTCTTAATCAGTTTAGTAATTACAAGGGTATTTACCTTATATGTTTCATTAAGCCACAAATCTGTTTTGTGTATGTTTTTTATCTGTTATATTTTCCCATGAAATGACTAGAAATGAATAAGGATGACAATGCCAATTGTTAGTGGGGATATACAGAGTGAAAACTCTCATAAAAGCTAATGAAAATTTAAATGATACAACCAGTAGGTAAAACTGATTCTATGGCCTAAAACTGATCATACACATTGCCTGTAATCTAGCAATTTCGGTCATACGAATACACCCGACAGAAAGAGGTACACATGCATATCAGAAAACATCAACAATAATGTTCCAACAGCATTATTTACAAGAAGCAAAAATAATACAAATATCTAGTAACAAAAAAGGTGAACATTTCACTATATATTCATACAATGGAACACTATAGACAAGGGAAAATGGACAAACTACTGATGTTTACAACATATTATTGTAGGTGATGTATTACTACCACAAACATACTGCTAGACAACATGTCAAACTCAAAGGCAAACTGTACAATGCAACTTACATAAGTTCGAACTGACAAAACCAATCTATGATATTAGATGTCAGGGTAGTTGTTATCACAGGGGAGAGTGGATTTTGGGGGGACAGGGGTTGGCAGTAAAGTTCTTTTTTTGATCTTGGTGGGGCTTGGTTACACAGATGTGCTCATTTGTGAAAATTCACCCATCTCAACACTTTTCTATTCATATATTTCTTTGTGTATCTTTTTACTTTAAAGGGAAAGCTTATTAAAATAATACTCATAGAAATTAAAAAAAAAAAAGATGACAATCCTGGAGAATCCCAGCAAGTCATGGCTTGTTCAGTACCTTTAACAATAGTTATGATTTCCATTGTATTTGGTTCAGTGGGGAGAAAAAAAAGCTACAAAAGTATTCTTTTTTTTTTTTCATTTATTTTTATTAGTTGGAGGCTAATTACTTTACATCATTGCAGTGGTTTTTGTCATACATTGAAATGAATTAGCCATGGATTTACATGTATTCCCCATCCCGGTCCCCCCTCCCACCTCCCTCTCCACCCGATCCCTCTGGGTCTTCCCAGTGCACCAGGCCCGAGCACTTGTCTCATGCACCCAACCTGGGCTGGTGATCTGTTTCACCCTAGATAATATACGTGTTTCGATGTTGTTCTCTTGAAACATCCCACCCTCGCCTTCTCCCAGAGTCCACAAGTCTGTTCTATATATCGGAGTCTCTTTTTTCTGTTTTGCATATAGGGTTATCGTTACCATCTTTCTAAATTCCATATATATGTGTTAGTATACTGTAATGGTCTTTATCTTTCTGGCTTACTTCACTCTGTATAATGGGCTCCAGTTTCATCCATCTCATTAGAACTGATTCAAATGAATTCTTTTTAATGGCTGAGTAATATTCCATGGTGTATATGTACCACAGCTTCCTCATCCATTCATCTGCTGATGGGCATCTAGGTTGCTTCCATGTCCTGGCTATTATAAACAGTGCTGTGATGAACATTGGGGTGCACGTGTCTCTTTCAGATCTGGTTTCCTCGGTGTGTATGCCCAGAAGTGGGATTGCTGGGTCATATGGCAGTTCTATGTCCAGCTTTTTAAGAAATCTCCACACTGTTTTCCATAGTGGCTGTACTAATTTGCATTCCCACCAACAGTGTAAGAGGGTTCCCTTTTCTCCACACCCTCTCCAGCATTTATTGCTTGTAGACTTTTGGATAGCAGCCATCCTGACTGGTGTGTAATGGTACCTCATTGTGGTTTTGATTTGCATTTCTCTGATAATGAGTGATGTTGAGCATCTTTTCATGTGTTTTTTTGCCATCTGTATGTCTTCCTTGGAGAAATGTCTGTTTAGTTCTTTGGCCCATTTTTTGATTGGGTCATTTATTTTTCTGGAGTTGAGCTGGAGGAGTTGCTTGTATATTTTTGAGATTAATCCTTTGTCTGTTGCTTCGTTTGCTATTATTTTCTCCCAATCTGAGGGCTGTCTTTTCACCTTGCTTATAGTTTCCTTTGTTGTGCAAAAGCTTTTAAGTTTCATTAGGTCCCATTTGTTTATTTTTGCTTTTATTTCTAAAATTCTGGGATGTGGGTCATAGAGGATCCTGCTGTGATTTATGTCAGAGAGTGTTTTGCCTATGTTCTCCTCTAGGAGTTTTATAATTTCTGGTTTTACATTTAGATCTTTAATCCATTTTGAGTTTATTTTTGTGTATGGTGTTAGAAAGTGTTCTAGTTTCATTCTTTTACAGGTGGTTGACCAGTTTTCCCAGCACCACTTGTTAAAGAGGTTGTCTTTTTTCCATTGTATATCCTTCCTCCTTTGTCGAAGATAAGGTGACCATAGGTTCGTGGATTTATCTCTGGGCTTTCTATTCTGTTCCATTGATCTATATTTCTGTCTTTGTGCCAGTACCATACTGTCTTGATGACTGTGGCTTTGTAGTATAGTCTGAAGTCAGGCAGATTGATTCCTCCAGTTCCATTCTTCTTTCTCAGGATTACTTTGGCTATTCGAGGTTTTTTGTATTTCCATACAAATTGTGAAATTATTCATTCTAGTTCTGTGAAAAATACCGTTGGTAGTTTGATAGGGATTGCATTGAATCTATAGATTGCTTTGGGTAGTATAGCCATTTTGACAATATTGATTCTTCCAATCCATGAACACGGTATATTTCTCCATCTGTTTGTGTCCTCTTTGATTTCTTTCATCAGTGTTTTATAGTTTTCTATGTATAGGTCTTTTGTTTCTTTAGGTAGATATACTCCTAAGTATTTTATTCTTTTTGTTGCAATGGTGAATGGTATTGTTTCCTTAATTTCTCTTTCTGTTTTCTCATTGTTAGTGTATAGGAATGCAAGAGATTTCTGTGTGTTAATTTTATATCCTGCAACTTTACTGTATTCATTGATTAGCTCTAGTAATTTTCTGGTAGAGTCTTTAGGGTTTTCTATGTAGAGGATCATGTCATCTGCAAACAGAGAGAGTTTCACTTCTTCTTTTCCTATCTGGATTCCTTTTACTTCTTTTTCTGCCCTGATTGCTGTGGCCAAAACTTCCAAAACGATGTTGAATAGTAGTGGTGAGAGTGGGCACCCTTGTCTTGTTCCTGATTTCAGGGGAAATGCTTTCAATTTTTCACCATTGAGGGTGATACTTGCTGTGGGTTTGTCATATATAGCTTTTATTATGTTGAGGTATTTTCCTTCTATTCCTGCTTTCTGGAGAGTTTTCATCATAAATGGATGTTGAATTTTATTAACCAGTGAAGAAAACTTGGTGATAAGATTATACCAATGAAACTGCCCACAAGCACCTATTTATTGAAGGAAGTATGAACAGATTATTGATAGATGCAAATGCCAATGATAATATAATGGTGTTAGTGTTTTAAATTAGGAATTTTTTTTTGGTTAGTGATCTTGCCCCAACTCTCCATTTCCCATAAGTCCTGTGGTTTTTACTGTACAGTATTATAGAACAAGCTCCCACCATACCCTGAGGGACATATGTATGACATTATAGTAGAAAGGCTCTTACTGAACTTCTCTTACTCAGGATTGTATACTCCTTCTGTGGTAATACGATGCTTATCATTTTAATCCAGTCTTACTTTTTATTATGACAATAGTGACCCCAAGAAACAAGTCTTCATTGTCCACTCAGATGAACAGAAAATATTGTGTGGTAATTTTTTAAGCTTACACTGAGATTTTCTGATATGGAAACACAGGATGCCAATGTCAGGATTAAATAAGAAACTGTATGTAACTGCACTTAGCCCCATGTTTGTATATATTTAGCACTTAATGTCTGTTGTCTACTATGCCTCATGCATGGTTGCAGTAACTTTCCCAATTGCATTTTCTTTAAATTAATATGCAAAGCAGTTTCACTCTCAGAGAAGGTAGTCTAACTGTATGTTGCTGTTCAGTCACCGTGTCGTGTCTGATTCCTTGCAATCCCATGGACGGCAGCACGTCGGTTTCCTCTGTCCTTCACCAGCCCCTGTTGGTGATAGTCACTCAGTCGTGTCCGACTCTTTGTGACCCCATGGACTATAGCCCACAGGGTCCTCTGTCCATGGAATTCTCCAGGCAAGAATACGGGAGTGGATAAGCATTCCCTTCTCCAGGGGATCTTCCCGACCCAGGAATTGAACCAGGGTCTCTGCGTTACAGGCAGATTCCTTACTATCTGAGCCACCAGGGAAGCCTCTACCTCCCAGAGTTTGCTCAGATTCATGTCCATTGAGTCAGTGATGCTATCTAACCGTCTCATCCTCTGACCACATGATCAATGATAAATAGTTACCAGAGGTTCACATAGAGCCTGGGGCATATTTGTTGCACTTCTAGAATACAAAATCCCAAAGAGCTATCCAAAATTTTAGTTGAATGGGGGAATTTAGAAGAAGAGCTTAATAAATATTTGAGTGAATTTAGCCATATAGAATAATATGGGGCTTCCCAGGTGGCGTGGTGGTAAAGAATCTCCCTGCCAATGCAAGAAACACAAGAGACACAGGTTTGATCCATGATTCAGGAAGATCCCCAGGAGGAAGAAATGACAACCCCTCCAGTATTCTTGCCTGGAGAATTCCATGGACAGAGAAGCCTGGCGGGCTACAGTCCATGGAGTCACGAAGAGTCAGATATGACAGAGCAACTGAGCACACACATGCACATCGCATGATATGTTGTAAGTGTAGATTTGTACAGGGCAGTCTGAGTCCTTACATCTCTTGTTTAGGCTTTTTGTATTATTTGTCATAAAATTATATGAATAATAATGATTCAACTGATGCCTGTTTGATACATTAGTTACCCATCAAAAGGCTAGTTCTCAGCAAAACTGGTTTGGGGAAGGATGGTGTTTGGGATCCTTTCTCAGTTACATTAATGATGCTTGGTTAGATTTTTGGTACCCAGGGCCTTTCCCCAGTTCTGTTTCCACTAAACCATTCTTTCTGATTGTATTATAAAAACCACTGAGGGTTAAGAGACAGCACTTAACAAAGGGTCACTTAGGCCAGAACGTAAAGAAACTCCTGGGCTTCTCAGATGGCACTAGTGGTAAAGAACCTGCCTGCAATGCAGGAGATATACAGAGATAGGGGTTCAATCCCTGGGTCAGGAAGATCCCCTGGAGGAGGGGGCAGGGCAACACACTCTAGTTATCCTTGTCTGGAGAATCCCATGGACAGAGGAGCCTGGCAGCCTGCATCCATGGGGTCGCAAAGAGTATGAAATAACTTAGCACTAACACATGCAAAGAAACTCCCACTCTCTCAGAAGTATGATTGCTTCGTAGGTAGGTTCTTAGACTCATCCTTCACAAGAGGACAACCTAGGCAAGAGTGTTATCTCTGTGTGTTTCAACATTTGCACACTTACTAAGACTATATTCTAGGGAGGACTTGAAAATTGATTTTGTAGGCGCGGGAAATAGTCCTATTTGTTTGAGCATTAACTGAAGGCTTAAGAGTATCTCTTTTCACCAGCGAAGAACCACAGAGTCCTTGGAGAGACTCCCAAACAGCATCTCCAGTCCGCACTACATCACTTTGGTATGTCCCTCCTCTCTGTCAGTTGTGCAGTCTGTGTCCCTGTCACTAATAATCTTGGAGCCACTGACCCACTCCTCAGTTCCTTGAAAAGGTCCAGTGATATAACACAGCTCTCTGACTCTGGGCAGAAATAGGAACTTCTCGGCAGGGCTGGGATTACGGTGATAGGAGTACAATGACTCCTGTAAGCACACAGATGCTGTCTTTATTTAAAACACTGCCTGTCTCATCATGAATTCTTGGGAATTAGTTCTGATTTAAAAAAAAAAAACACAGTAATTTTTTTACTATGTTATTTACTATGATCACAGAGTTTGTCTGTAACCCTTAACTGTTATTCCTGGGACAAGTGCTTTGCTAACCCTGCTCTAGTCCCAGCCCTGGTTCTCAGGGTAAAGCTGAATGATGGTTTCCAGAGAGGCCTTGAACAGCAGAGGGCTTTCCATGAACTGAGGACATGTTTCCCGAATCAATATTGATGACAGAGAAGCCAGTTAGCTAAATCAGCACACACATGCATGAGAGACATGGAGCCAAAACAGAGACATCACATAAGTAGGAAAGCAGAGAAGTAAAATACATCTCTCTTTACGATAAACGAACCCAGATATTTTTCCTTAGCTCAGATTTATAGGTTTCCATTATAATTTTTACCATCATATTCTTACTCAGTCGCTCAGTCGTGTCTGACTCTTTGCTACTCCATGGATTGCCGCACGCCAGTCTTCCCTGTTCTTCACTGTCTCCTGGAGCTTGCTCAAACTCATGTCCATTGAGTCAGTGATGCCATCTAACCATCTCATCCTCTTCTGCCCCCTTCTTCTCCTGCCCTCAGTCTTTCCCAGCATCAGGGTCTTTTCCAATGAGCCAGCTCTTCACATCAGATGTCCCAAGTATTGGAGCTTCAGCATCAGTCTTTCCAATGTTCAGGGTTGATTTCCTTTAGGATGGACTGGTTGGATCTCCTTGCAGTTCAAGGGACTCCCAAGAGTCTTCTCCAGCACTACAGTTCAAAAGCATCTATTCTTCAGTGCTCAGCCTTCTTTAGGAGATGATTATTCATGACAGGAAATTTGAGTGAATCATGCAGTCTCTGAATATGCACCAATATCTCATAATCTCTGGTGTCTTTGATGGACTTATTTCCTGAAGTCATCATTTACTTAGATACAAAAAGAAGAGAGAGATTACAGGGTCTCTAAGATCACCTCAACCACTGGAGTCTTTATCTGCACCTGTATTCTCAAGTACACATAGAACATGTATTACTCAGAGCTGGGTGCTAATCACCAAGATGCTCAACTATATCTCTATAAAATCAGCAATTCTCATTATGCATTCGTTAATGGATAGAAGGGGGTGACCAAGATAGTTTTCAGTCTGTGGCTTCACAGAATCCTCCTACCACACAGAAGGGTCTCAGAGTGTGCTGGACAGGCAGGGTGGCACATCTGTTGGAGTTACAACAAGGCTAACAAGGAAACATGGTTTCTGATAAAACATCCCTTAACCAGTACTCCATCCTCACCCACCTCTGCCCACTTCATTCCTACACAGTCTTAGTTTTTCATGGATCAAAAAGGGGTGGTCTGAGTGTGTATGTGTGTCTGTGCATACTATCTTCTGGTTCAGTTCCTGACACAACAAAATGTTTATTATAGAAATCTGCAAATAAAGAGCATAGAGGAATGGCAGATCCCAATTCAAGTGCCAAAATGGTAAGTTCCCGTATCAAATGGTTCCCTCCTTTTCAAATGCTAGCCTCTTTTTGTGCTTTTTGCCTACTTGTTGATTGGAGAGATTCTCTGCTCTTATCAAAAGATTGAGATGATTAAAATTGTTTTCCGTGATGTGCTTAAATTTTTCACAGATAATTCGGCAGTGCTCATTTAGTCCAAGAGTTTTCAACCTTACCAAAGGAGCAAGCTAGAATTTAACAGTGTCAAAGTCTGAATACATTTTGGAAATAATAGCAAAAACAAAATAAAGATGTGACGGTACTGGTAATCATAGAAAATGGGCTTCCCCTAGTGGTTCAGTGGTAAAGAATCTGCCTGCTAATACAGGAGATGGGTTTGATCCCTGATTCAGGAAGATCCCCTGGAGGAGGAAATGGCAACCCACTCCAGTATTCTTGCCTGGGAAATCCCATGGACAGAGGAGCCTGGCAGACTACAATCCATGGGGTTGCAAAGAGTCCACCATGACTGAGCAACTAAACAACAATTATAGAAAAGTTATCCTTTCTGATGGAACTGTTTGCTTCATGATTGATTGCTTTGCTAAAGCTTTCACTTACAAATCAGTAACTCACTAAATCTGAGGGATAATTTTATTTTGAATGACTGTGTCTACTGGTAGAAAATTTATCAAAAATTTGTGATTTTTGCCAAAGGGAGACAAAAGAGCATTGTGTGACTGACTACATTTTATTTATTTATTTTTTTTTTTTTTAGTTTTTTGAATGTTGAGTATTTTTCTTCTCATTTATTTTTATTAGTTGGAGGCTAATTACTTCACAACATTTCAGTGGGTTTTGTCATACATTGACATGAATCAGCCATGGAGTTACATGTATTCCCCATCCCGATCCCCCCTCCCACCTCCCTCTCCACCCTATTCCTCTGGGATGTTTTGAAAGAACAGCATGTATATTATCTATAGTGAAACAGATCACCAGCCCAGGTGGGATGCATAAGACTGACTACATTTTAGAGTTTTTGTTTTCATTCCTTCATTCATCCATTCATTGACTTTTCTTGAGTCTCTACAAAGTACTGGGTTAATAGGAGGGTTTTCCCTAGAAAGCATTCTTACTGGAAATCCTGCCCAATACACTTTCCCTTTGGGGATGGAGAAAGAAATATTTTTTAGAAATTTGTTCTTTTTTTAATACAATTTTATTTATCTTATTTTTGGCTGAGCTAGGTCTTTGCTGCTGTGCAGGCTTTTCCCTAGTTGCGGCTAGCGGGGGCTAGCTAGTTGTGGTGTGAGGGTTTCTCATTTCGGTGGCTTCTCTGATCGTGCAGCATGGGCTCTAAATCACAGACACTGTAGTTGTGGTGCACAGGCTTAGGTGCCCCGCTGCATCTGGGATCTTCCCTGGGCCAGGGATCCAACCCATGTCTCCTGCACTGGCAGGTGGATTCTTTACCACTGAGCCACCAGAAATGTTTTCAAGCGGTCCCTCCCCTCCACAAAGATGAAGCTTCCTCGTATTGGAGAGCGGAGAGAGATGGTCCTTAGGGCAAGCAAACTCTTTGCCTTCCTGTATTAAAAAACAAAATGGCTTTCTATCTTTTGTGACAGACTGGTCGATTTTACAATAACTGCTTAATTAGCCATGGCTAAGGAGATCTGGGAAAGTGTGGATAAATGTAATACAACAGAATGTAGAAAGCTTACTGTAATTAGCAGATATAAATGAGTCACTGAAATATAACATGCTTATAGATTTTGCAGAAAATAAATCACTTTTAACCATCTCTTTTTATTTAGAGCTTGAAACTGGATATCCAAAATGGCTGTGCGAGGCTAGGCTGAGGATCCTGGAAGCAAGATCTTCTTAACCTTCCCTAGATGTTTGCTACACAAATGTCTGGTAGTTTCTCAGCTGTTCTTTATCCAGACAGAACATGCTGAAGAGAAGTAGCATCTTTCTATAACATTTACTTGTAGAATTCACAACCTGTGGCTTAGACACATGCTAATATACCAAAAAAAAAAATCTATCCCTTTTTAAATGCTCCTTTAGCTTCATATAACAATAAGTAGTCTTCTTACACTAGTGTTTTCTTACAAAATATTAATCTAACTACTTAAAACATGAGTCAAAACTTGGAAGTAAATTACAATGTTGAGTCTAAGAAGGAAAACATCTTTTATTACAGGTTATTTCTTTGGGAACATAAAAGTACTTATCTTAATTTGAACCTGACATAATTACCACTAATTATGGTTTAAATAAAGTTCTCTCCTGCAGAGATGCCAAGGAAATCCATGCAGGAAGCATCAGATTCCACTACTTAATTAAAAGGTCAATGGCTGTTCTGATCATTCCCTATCAGGGAAGGAGGAAAAAGAATAGTTACTTCAGCTACCAAATCTTAAACTTGTGAAGGTGGCCAAAGAGGACATGAAGCTCTCCTGGTCATTCAAAAAGCCTAGAAGTCAATTCTAACTTCCTTAATTTTTTAGACTTCTTTAAGAACTAGACAGAAAACTCATAGACATACAAAATTTTCAAAAAATTGACTCAAGCAGAGAAGAAATGCAATTTCCATGAAGGGCTTTTGAGATCCTTGCAATATGTGGGTGTGAGCACTCCAGTGTGCAAGTTCTGTCTGTTTCTTCTGGTTGATTACTTTGGTATGTGGGGTTGTCCTGGGAATGATTTCAGCTCTTTTTTATAAGGGTGTGTCTCATCATATTTTCATACGTTCTCTATTTTCTTTTTTCTTAACTGCTCAAGCTATCTGCAATCATTTTTTCATTTACTGAAATGAAGTTTTTAAGTGCTAAATGCAAATTTTCTGTTTCAATGAAATAAAAGCTGCAAATGAAAGAAGAAAGCTGGTTGCTCCTGGTGAATTTCTGTTGTAACGCCGATTGGTTGATGGGAGGAGCCAGTTAAACCAGCAAAGGATGGCAGTGACTGATCACTTTATACGTAGTGTGCTTTCAGTTGGCATCTACTCTTATTAAAGCCATTCCTTGAGAAAGAATACTGATAAATGCGTGCTTAAAGCAAAACATGCTAACTGAAACATTTTATGTAAATTTTTGAAGAAAGAGAAATTCTATATCGTATACACTAGCCTCATTAAAGCAAGCAATAATCTTCATGTCCAAGACAAGTATTATGTGATACTACTTATATGGGAAGTCTAAAAAAGTGGTATAATGAACTTATTTACAGAAACAGACTCTCGGATGTAGAAAACAAACATGATACAGGGCTGGGGGGAAGGATGAATTGGGAGATTGGACTTGACATATACACACATATTTATATGAAAGTAGATAAGTGTTCAATACTTCGTAATGATCTATATGGGGAAAAATATGAAAAAGTGGATGTATGTATACGTACAACTGATTCACTTTGCTGTACACCTAAAACTTACACAACATTGTACATCAACTATAATTTTTTTTAATAGACAAAATGGAGAGATGTTCACACATTCCAGTCGCCCAACAATACATGTGTTGATGAACAATATACATTTTGGTGATATATTATTCTCCCTTTATCCATGGCTAATTCATTTCAATGTATGACAAAAACCACAGCAATGATGTAAAGTAATTAGCCTCCAACTAATAAAAATAAATGAAAAAAAAAAAAGAATCATTTTTTGTTTTTGATTTGTTCCTTTCCTTATTGTTCCCACATCTCTTTCAGAAAACTCCCCATCACCACTCATTTCCTCTGTCCTGGGCTCCACATTCAACTAACTACCAATTTCTAGTGCTTTTTTTTTTTCTTCAAATTTCTCTCTCTCTCCAATTACAAATGTCTGGAATTCCCTAAGTCCTCCCACTTCATTGCTTCCTGCCTAATCATTCTAGATTTCTAATCTGCTGCCCTGTTTTTCAAACAACTCCAGGAGCCTTCTGACAATTAAGCCTCTTTTTAATTTTAAGTGATATTCATCATGCTTGTCCATATCACTCACCCTAGGTCTTCAAGACTTTATATTCATTTCAAATTACTCTCTCTGCTCTATTTCCTAGGGATCTTCTTTTAATGCTGTCTACAGACTCAGAAGCATTTTCACAGCTCCCTCTAACCAGTAACCCTTGTAGACGCAGTTCTGTCTCTGGTTGTGGAAAAGTTACAATTTCATAGCCCTAATGCTTCTGGCTCTTGTCATTTCCCCAAGGTTTGAATACTATCCCTTGAATCCACAAGCACGGTCAAGGTTCCCTCTGGGAATGCACACACCTGCTAGACCTACTATCTAAGCAACTCTGCCCTCCACCTCAGCCCCCTGAACGTCTTGCTGTCCAGTCATGAACAAACAACCCTTATTAATGCCTCAGCTTAGACTGAACTTGCTACCAGCCTGGAATGTGTCTTGAGATGCTGTACTGGCTCTCTGCACTTAGGTCAAGTGCCCTCTGCCCTGGACAAAGGTGGGTTTATCTGGAAGCTAACGAATCTGGGGCTCTTCAGGGCCCATCACGTGTGCTGCTGCTTCCAAGACCTTTTATCTAATTTTGCATTTACGTTTCTTTAAATGACATTCAGTGGGCCATTGTGGGTTGGGAAGAAGAAATTCAAACCATATGTCAGCCATGAGAACCTGTCATATAGCACGGGAAACACACTGCTCAGAGCAGTCTACTCAGGGCCCTGTGGGGACTGAAATGGGAAGGCAATCCCCAAAGCAGGGATGCGTGTATGCATGTGGCTGGTTCACTGCCAGCAGAAACTGGCACAGCAGTGTAAAGCAACTATATTCCAACAAGGCTTAATTGTTGATTAATTAATTAATTAATTTCATTTATTTTTATTAGTTGGAGGCTAATTACTTTACAATATTATAGTGGGTTTTGTCATACATTGACATAAATCAGCTATGGATTTATGTGTATTCCCCATCCCGATCCCCGCTCCCACCTCCCTCTCTACCCGATCCCTCTGGGTCTTCCCAGTGCACCAGGCCCGAGCACTTGTCTCATGCACCCAACCTGGGCTGGTGATCTGTTTCACCCTAGATAATATACGTTTCGATGCTGTTCTCTTGAAACATCCCACCCTCGCCTTCTCCGACAGAGTCCAAAAGTCTGTTCTGTATATCTGTGTCTCTTTTTCTGTTTTGCATATAAGGTTATCATTACCATCTTTCTAAATTCCATATATATGTGTTAGTATACTGTAATGGTCTTTATCTTTCTGGCTTACTTCACTCTGTATAATGGGCTCCAGTTTCATCCATCTCATTAGAACTGATTCAAATGAATTCTTTTTAATGGCTGAGTAATATTCCATGGTGTATATGTACCACAGCTTCCTTATCCATTCGTCTGCTGATGGGCATCTAGGTTGCTTCCATGTCCTGGCTGTTATAAACAGTGCTGCGATGAACATTGGGTTGAACGTGTCTCTTTCAGATCTAGTTTCCTCAGTGTGTATGCCCAGGAGTGGGATTGCTGGGTCATATGGCAGTTCTATTTCCAGCTTTTTAAGAAATCCCCACACTGTTCTCCATAGCGGCTGTACTAGTTTGCATTCCCACCAACAGTGTAAGAGGGTTCCCTTTTCTCCACACCCTCTCCAGCATTTATTGCTTGTAGACTTTTGGAAAGCAGCCATCCTGACTGGCGTGTAATGGTACCTCATTGTGGTTTTGATTTGCATTTCTCAATTAATTTTTAAAAGTACTGATAGGAAACAAATAGGACAAAGATGCACCTTAGTTAGACTGAAGTTGCAATCATGGGGAGGGTGAGAGTGAACCAACCTGAAATGGTACAAGAAGGATGTGGGCATAGGAGAAGCATGGTAGGTTTCATGTGCCTCCCACATCCTCCCAGCTAACTGGGGAAAGACCTGCCTGGGCGTTGAGTACTCAGGAGAACACCACAAAGAGGAAAATCCAAGACTGGAGTGAAACCCAGCTGAACCCTGACTATGCTCCCCAGTCCACATGCAGATCAATGGCTGAAGGCCAAAGGTTTATAGGCTCCCAGAGTGTGGACAAAACCAGTGCCTAAATCTCCAACCACTGAGTGATGTTGGTCAGGAACCCCAGAGGAAAAACAGTATAAAATATAAAAAGAAGTCAAATTGATCAGAGATACTAGTGGCTGTACATGTCAAAAGGTGAAGGATGAGCAGGGGATGAATTCTGCAGTATAAGTTTCTGCAAGTCACTTAAAAAAAATCCTCTGAAAAAATAAATCAAAATCTGTATTTGTTACAATATATTATCTAAATGTTATGGTGCCGAGGAATATCAAGTGTATTTTTACATTAGTCCTGCCAGGACTGCAGTGAGCCATTCCCTTCTCCAAGGGACCTTCCCAACTCAAGTATCAAGCCCAGGTCTCCTGAATTGCACACAGATTTTTTACCATATGAGCCACAAGGGAAGCCTAGGACTGCAGTGATGACAACACACACTAAAACAAAACCAACATTCCCAGTAGCATCTGTTACAGTCCTCCTTGGGTATCAACGGAGAATTAGTTCCAGGCCCCCAGGGGAGACTAACCTCCCAAACTCAAGTAGCTTACATAAAATGGTGAATTTTTTTTTTTCCTATTATTTGCAATGTAACCTATGGGCTTCCCTTGTGGTTCAGATGGTAAAGAATTCATCTGCTATGCAGGACACTAGGGTTCAATCTCCAGATCTGGAAGATCCCATAGAAAAGGGAATAGCTACCCACTCCAGTATTCCTACCTGGGAAATTCCATGGACAGAGGGAGCCTGGCAGGCTACAGTCCATGGGGTCACAAAGAATCGGACAAGGCTGAGCGACTACCAAGACTGAGTGTCTAACACTTATGCAATGCAAATGTATACTTTG